TTTATGCATTCCTTATATAAATCTCATATATGGTTTAAAATAAATGAGTCATGTCAAAGAAATGTTTTAAGCTAAAAATACGCTTTATAAAATTGTCAACGTAGATTCCACTCGAGTGTGACGGCGTTCGGACGGTTAGAAATAACAGACGTTCTGTCTAGACTCACTTCGCAACCTCCCGAGCGGAAAATCCCACTCGATGGCATCACCTTTAAAGTTGATTATTTTTTACAAAACTGGTATTTGTTATTGGCAATTTTTGTCTCAATGTATGCGCTTTTAACTTTAACGGATTTTTCTTATGTTTTTGTTGGATAACCAAAGCCAAGAACAAAGAAATATTGAATTAGTTCTAGCTCGAATAAGTTCCTAGCTAATAACGGAAAAAATAAAAATTAATATTTTAAGTATTGTGTTCTTGCCGATGAGGAAGAAGGGTTCTAGAGCGGCAGCCTCTTACCAAAAGGCGAAGTGTAGGTGTAGGGACGACCTGGTAAGACATGCGGGAAGTCGATGGCTACAGGTGGCTCAGAAGTTCCTTATTGCACGGTACAAATTTGACCGGTAAATTTTTCGTAAGATTTTTCGTCACTACCTCCTTTCTATAGTGCGAGCGAATGGAATAATATCCATCTCCCTCGCACTTTTTCTTATCTTGCCATGAAAGAAATATTATTTTAAATGACGCTTCATTTTAATAGACGCTAGTAATTAATTTATTTTTATTTGTTAATCAATAATATAATACGTTTATTAATAATTATATACTACGAAAGGAACCTCGTTCCAATCGAGTGTTTCACGATACTCACGCATGTTTTTCATTTAGTATTTTTATTGAACATCAAAACAAAAATGCAAAACTTAAAGCCATGAAATAATATCGAAGGAACAAAATAGTGCAGTTACCAATCCGACTGCCAAGCGTGTCAAAACCTCCCTATGAAGCAATCTATTAGGGAGACCTACGAGTTTGTTTTACAGTGGACATTTTATAGGCTGTAATGGACGAATGAATGAAAAAAAAAAACCGCCCAAGTGCGAGTCGGACTCGCGCAACGAGGGTTCCGAACAAATCCGTAGGTATATAAGTTTAAAATTATTAAAAATATTTTTATTATATGATGTAACTAAATTTACGCTAAAAATAAACACTAAAAATTTATGCTTTCCGCAATTTTTCCTTTATCTGTGCTATAATACTTTGCTTCGTACCAAATTTTAAGATTCTGAGTTCACGGGAAGTACCCTGTAGGTTTTTATTCCCTTGCGAATGTCGAAAATTTGCGGTATAAACGGCTGTATCTTTTGATTGCGTTGGCTTAGAAGTTTGATTTTTTCACAGCTACAAGGGACAGTAGACTTGAGTATTTGATATGAATTTCAGCTTGATACCTCCATGCGTTCCTGTAAAAAAGGGTCTTGACAGACAGACAGACGGACAACAAAGTGATCCTATAAGGGTTCCGTTTTTTTTCTTTTGAGGTACGGAACCCTAAAAAAGGAATAAAAGTGAAGCTACGGTACATCTGAATTATTATTGCAACATGAAGGGGTCAGGACGACTGTGGGGATAGGACGTTTTTACTGAATACCAGCATAATATAGATAGTAGCATAACGATGCTGTGTATTGTATGGCAATTGATGAGAACTGGAGACCTTTATTTGAAGAGTTACCTCTTAACAAACCATTCCATCTCAGTCTTCAGGGATAACAATGCATCTGCATTTTGATGCCACATCGAGAATAGATGTACGTGGCTACCACTCTACCCATGTAGATGTAGGTAGATATGGGTCACACCATCCACTTATCAACAGGTAGTAGCTTTCTTAAGTATTATAAGTCAGTGTTTGACCACTATCCCACTTTATGGTAAGTGGTAATGTAGCCGAAGATGGTAAGCGCACTGATTTTGCTTATCAAAAGCCTATTCACTCATGCCTTAAAGATACCCATATTATAATCAGACGGAAAGATATATTTACTTATGTTTATAACAAAGATATACCTGTTATATATACAGGCACGTCTTATATCAAAGCGCACTAGACAACCAACAAATGCCCTTCGTTCACGAAAGCCAACCACAGTGGATGAACGCTAGAAAATGCACAGATTTTTCTAGTGCACAGCCGCGGGCGTTTGAAGCCTAGATCACACTGGTAATTCGCTTTTATTTATTTCGATGTGAATAAGGAATCGAGGGTCTGTTTACGAAGCGTAACTAACCTGCTTTTTTAATAACTTCAAAATGAGGTTCTATATTCGACGTGTTTTTGTACCGTGTAGTGGAGGTGGAAGAATATCCACTACCCTATATCATCGTGGGTGTCGTAAGAGTTAAACTGAACCAGGAGACGAGCAACAATATCTATGCGATAACAGCTAAATAAAAAAAAAAACTGCGGTTGACACACAAATAGCCTTGCATCCACTCAAAGTTTAAAAACTTTATCAAACAAAGTTTGTATATCAAGGGTTATTATAATATTGAGGAATTTATGGATGATGATAACCCCTGGGAATGATGTGATCGCTACCAAGCTATTTCTAATTTGTGATTACATGATTGTAAGCTGTTATTTAAAAAAAATGTCCCGCTGGGTTTCTTGCTGGTTCTTCCCAGGACAGAAGTTTTTTTTTCGAACCAGTGGTAATTAAAGAAAAGCGTGACTTTCAATAAGTATTATTTATAATGTTTATTGAATAAAACAGTTTCTGTTTCTGTTTCCGCAGTTTTTTTTATTTATCTATTTGCACCACAGTTGCACCAGTATTTCCAGCTATGTGAAATATCCGCCATATGAGCCAATCTATGGTGGAGACCCCTGTTCAGCAAGGAACTTTTGATAGGCTGTAATGGATGGTTCATCTGAATTTGAAGAAAAAATTCTATTACCCTTAAGGGTGGAAGAATAGCGCATGAAGTTTTTGTTGTAACTACATTTCAAATTCTTTATTTGTCACTCATGTGCCGTCATGGTACATGTTACTTTCACGTGTTGCCACCATCCGAATTGTATTTCAAATCTTGTAAAGGCTTTTTAAGAATATTCTCCTATTACATATATTAAGGCCGATAAATGAAGAAGAAAGAACTTTTAAAATAAAAAAAATGCTTAATGTTATTTTAGAACAAAATTATTTTAATAACAAAGGAGATCTGTTCATTAATTAATTAAAATATATATATATATATATATATATATATATATATATATATATATGGCAAAGTTAATAACCCCACATTATTATAATAAAGTCAGATTACTTGATAGAGAAGAAAAAGGGTCTGACAAATGTGACGTAGACTGTAAAATAATACCATTTTAGTGTTTGTTCCCATCTAAAATATAAGTTAGGAGCGATAGCCTCTCTGATATAGTCCATACGTGAAAGGTACGTATACTTAGTAAGTAGTAGATTTGTTTTTCTGCCGACTTCCAAAAAGGAGACGGTACTCAATTCGACTGTATGTTCTTTTTTTATGTGTGTTACCTCATAACTTTTTACTGGTGAACCGATTTCGATGATTCTTTTTTTATTTGAAAGCTGGTATTTCTCGTGTGGTCCCATATGAATTTGATCAAGGTCAGACCTATAGTTTTTGAGTTATTCTTAATAACTTATATTGAAGTCGGCAGTACAACATTTTTAATTTTAAATTATATGTCTGGTACATACTAACCCCCTCTTACCTATTCCTGGCAAGCTGTAGTGCACTCATTGCTGTGTTCCAGTTTAGAGGTTAAGAGAGTCAGTATAATTACAGGCATTTCATCTTAGCTCATAGAGTGGGGATAAAACAATAATACGGAAATATTGAGACGTTTACTTTGTAGTTGTACCGAAAGAAAGTATCGATGCTTTACTTATGTTTCTTATAAATATTTTGAATATATGAGCCTTTTTAATAGCCTCGTATTTTAAATGGCCAATATTTTATCACGTAATAGATTCAAAAATTTTATTTATAAGGAACAGTCAAAAATATCGATAGAAATTAATATCGATACTTTCTTTCTGTACAACTAGCTACTCAAAGTATCGATACTTTCGTGGTAGCTACTGCGTGATAATATTATATAATGCTTCCGTACCTATGAACTCCTAAATTTTGAATATATGAGCCTTTTTAATAGCCTCGTATTTTAAATGGCCAATACCTTATCACGTAATACGTTCGGCTTTAAATTCGTTTGTCAAGAATAATGTCAAATCTTTTACAAAATCACTATAACTATATTGTGATTAATAAAATAATTTACATGTTGTGATTCGTGTCGTAAATTTTAAAATACTCTTAGCCTTCTTCAGTCAAAGAAACGTCATTACCCGACTGTACCAGACTGAGGGGAAAGCAAAACGTCCACCGCAAACTAAACTATATGGAAACTGGGCTCAGTGAACTGAGCTAAGCCACCCTGGAAAATCGAACGTCCACCGAAAAATAAGCTAAAACAAGCAACACTAAGCGAAAGGCGCCAGAAGGGTGAGCAGTAAGGATCGGCCTACACAACTAAGTTACTTTGACTTAGTTTGGCTATTTTACCTGGCTTAGCTGGCACAGTTTGAGGTACATGTATTAAAAACTGGCTCAGCTATGCGAGCTAAGATAAACTAAGTTAGTTTAGTTTGCGGTGGACGTTCGGCTTAATGTTTTTCGAGTGTATGTATGTATGTACATGTATCTATTTCTTTAGCACTCTCTGTGGCCTAATTTTCTTGACATATCTTAACATACAAGTATGTGGCGTCTTTAGTGTCGTCTTTGTTGTAGAAGTGGCATAGTATATAAAACTTTTCTTTTTTGCGCTAAACTTTTTTACGCAGTTAGGTTGATTACTGTTTTAACTTTTGGACTTGTTTTGAAACGGTAGTAGACTAAAAAATAACGTTCGACAAACGAAATTTTAATTTATAACGTCAAAGATACAATTTAATTTGTCTTAAAATGTTATAAATTTTGTTAATATTTTTATATTTTGTTGCAGGCGACACAATATGTCCAAACGGCATGTTCCGGTGTCCGGAGGGCAAGTGCATACCCTCGCTATGGGTGTGTAACTATCAGAGCGACTGTGCGAAGGGAGAGGACGAGTTTCAAGCGTGTCGTAAGTACTTTATCTGTTATGAATATTGTTACCTGTTCATTCACCAAAGTTCATTGATAGTAGATTTCAGAAAGAAAGAAAACAGATGATTTATAGTTAATTTACGCAATATTATAAAAGAATTTTTACAAGCATTTCTGTCACTCGATGTTTGATGTTATAGTGATATTTTTTTTTATTGTGGCAAACGGCCCTTTGCCCACTATGCCAGTTTCAAGTTAATAAAGTTGTAGTATCTATATTTAATTATATTTGTAATTTAATATTACTTTTTATATGCTCTTGCTTCAAACTTTTCAGCCTACTCTATGAAGTCGCTATTAAGTTAAATTTAATTTATTAAAGCCCCTAAAAATTAACTACTGTACTGCTTAGAAGTAAAATATTATTAAATTTGATGTTTATAGTACATAATATTTTTAACAAAGCACACCTTAAAAAAGTTTTCATACAGAATTTTTAACCAAAGAGCACCTTGTAGCGATTATTAATTGGAAATATGATCTTCATACAAAAATAATGTGGAAATAAACGTAATGAGTCATTCGATATTTATAAATATCGAATAACTCATTACGTTTATTTCTTTCGTTCGTATAAATACGAATAACGCACCACATTATTGATAATGCCTACATACGTGGGTTATACTGAAAGTTTTGCGTTACTCTTAAATAAAACAATTTATTATTAAACATTATATAGAATGCCCCATTACATTTTAAACACTTTTTCACTCTAGATTTCGGACCATTGTTAGTCTGAAGTCATGAATTTCACGTGCTGGTTAAAAGTTATCACGGCCTATTCTGGCTCCGTTAAAGTCAAACCTCCCATCAAATTTTTGATGTTTGGGAAAATAAAGAAATCACATGGTACGAGGTCTAAGCTGTGTGCGGGATAGGCACAGTGAGTTTATGAGTAATCCAGCGGCAACAAAAAACTTTTAAAGGTTGATGTATTTTTTTTTTTGAATTTGAGTCATACTACTAATACAATATTCTCAAATCTTATTATATGAGATGCGCCGGTTTTTCAATTAGCCGCCTGAAAGTCGCCACATTTTCCTCAGCTATTGCTATTGAGGGTAGACCTTCATGAATTTCATGAAAAGTAACACGGCCACTATCAAATTATGTATACCAACGTCTTACGGTGCTTAAACGAGGTGCTTCTCCACCAAAAGCAATTAGAAGACAAGCAAATTCTAAGATTACCCTTGCGGAGAGTGAAATTTTAAGGTCATAAAAAATCATCGCCCTAAAATCTTTACGCGTTCATTCCATTTTTCTAGCGATGACGAACTTCAACTTATAATAAAAAACAATTGACACACGATATCCCGTCAAAATAATGTTTTTATGTTTTGTTCAAATGAGTTTCCTATGTCTTAAAAAATATAACATTCGAAATTCAAACATGTATGAGCGGCCAGGGGTACTGAACTTTAAGTGTCCTATGTATAATCAGCAGTACAAAGGTAGTTTATGTTAGCTAAAAGAGAATGAAAATTAGAACGGAATAAAGAGGCATTTATTTTTAAATACGCCACCAGCAATAAAGTTTTGATTCACAAATTACTTAGATATTAATAATAATGTCCTCCATACCGAATTTCGGTCACGGCGGCCAGTCTTCAAAACACCGCTTTTTAACTCTGGGCATCATTTGAGCTTCTTCTGAGCATTCCTTCACAGAAAAGCCTATTAACTGACTGTGGCCCGACACATGATAGGAGTTTACTTATACGTTTCTTGGAGATTACTTACTTAAATACAAAATACAACAGGCTATGAGACAATTGATGTCATTCCTCGGGGGTAACAACGCCTGTGGTCATTGTTTTTTTTTAATTGAATAAGAATTAAGTGACAAACGAGCACGCAGTCCACCTGATGGTAAGTGGTTGCTGTGACCCATAGACATCTACATTTATCCTGCATTAAGAATCGAAATGCAGATGCGTTGTCTCCCATGAGGACTAAGATCGAATGCATTGTTTCCAGTAAAAAGGGTATCCGTTTCTCTACACTAACCATACGAAACACAGCGTCATTAAACTGGTATTCTGTGACAGTGTGGTCCTTTCCCGGTCGAGCCGAACCATTCATGCTACAACTATAATATAGCTGCTGCGTGGCTTGCTGGTATCCACTTATCAGTTTGCAATTATTAAAGTTACACAATAATTCACAACACAAAACAAATTATAACTAACATGGTAGTGATCACCTTATTCGAAGGGGTTATCCATAAATCTATACAAATAAATAAAATTGAAGTGTCTGTTTGTAATGTCAAAATACCAGCTTTTTACTAAATGCATATGAAAGTATATACGGTACTTATAAGAAGAACACTATTTTTTAAATTTTTGCCTGTCTGTCTGTCTGTCTGTTTGTTCCGGCTAATCTTGGAATTGCTGGACCGATTTCGACGGGACTTTCACTGGCAGATAGCTGATGTTATAAGGAGTAATTTGGGCTACTTATATTTTAGAAAAAAAAATAGGGTTCCGCGAAACTTAATTAAAACCTTAAATTACATGCGGGCGAAGTCGCGGGGAACAGCTAGTTCCTTAATATTATAATAATCCTTTTTATACAATATTTGTTTGATAAAGTTTTTAAACTTGGCAGAAGCCAGATTTTGTATATTTTTCGGATTTGTTGTCCCAAGAATGAATTAATAACTCGGTGCTGTTCCTAGTATTTACACGGTGAATAGCATTTATTTTATTAAAACTAATTATATTTGTAAACACAGCAAAATCAGTTGCCAATTAAAACATCGCGCTAGTGTGTGATGTTACGAGTTCTCTTCAATTAATTAACCGATTACTCGACTCGTTTGCCGTCCAAACGTGCTCAAACTGCAGAAAGTAGAACGAGAGAAAGTTGGCAGCCCAACTATTTGTTTGCGGATTAATTATTCATCTAACCTCAATTCAGTTATGTTTTTATAGAATAAGGGTGACAAACGAACACAAAGTCTACCTTATGGTAAGTCGATGATGTGGCCCATTGATAGATCTACATATATCCTCGATTAAGAATCAAAATGCAGATGCGTTTGTTTTTTTACCTGAGAGCGTGGTCCTTCCCCGGTCTAGCCTACAGGTCGTGCTACAACCATAATGTAGCTGCAACATGGCTTTAGCACGTGTAAATTGTGTAAATAAGTTGTAAAAACAGAGATTGCAAAAAAAATTGTTAATTTTTCAATCGTATAACTTTTTGAAAAATCGACAATATTTTTTTCCAACGGGGCTTTATTTATTCAAGTGTTCTCATGCCATAATTTTTTTAAATTTTTAAATTAATATTTAATACTATAAAAAAATATTTTATGTGATATACCGTCTTCATCGGCGATGCGTTCTAGCCGTAACGGTCGTGCGGAGTCCTATTTACGGCGTTAAATAAAAATAATGAATAATAGAGATAGAATTTCGGCAGTCGAGAATTTTTTATTGATAATTTCCTCTTCTTTAAGGATCTTTTTTCAAAAGTTCTTAAAGTTCTTTTTTTTATTGCATGCCGAGCGCAAATCGCATAGGTATTGCATGCCGAGCGCAAAGCGCATAAGTATGTTCTACTAGCGCCTAAAAATCAAGATTCCAACGTTTTGTCGCATGAAATCGTATCCAGCAATCATATTTTACATATAAATGATATAAAAAGCACATTGTCAGAAAGATAAATGATTGTTGAACTTATTAATATTTTTTTTAAATCGATTAATTGCTATTTTTACATAAAAAAGGGGTTTAAGTGGCTTATGGTGTGGATTTATTAAGCCCTCAAGGCTTGTAAACACGATAACTTTTAAAAATATCAATTGTTTAACTCAATCTATTTTTTAATCTCTTCATCTATCATGTGGGAAGCCACTGAATGTAAATAGCAGTGTAATTTTGTTTTGTTCAGCTATAATTAATTTTTTCTGCTCCAAAATGGCGAAATTTTCGGTGTTTTCGTAGCCTTGTGTTAGAATTTATTTCAGTAAATAGAGACTGCCTGTGCCTCACAATGTACCAGAGACGTCCGTCCACAGAGTACTTTTTACTCACTCGCTTTAGTTCGGCGTCAACCGCCGTCGTGAGTGGATACTGTATTGGTTGTTTGCAGCGGCTCAAAAAGATCGCTGTACAAATAAATACAAAATATTTGAAAAACAAATTTCATACATACTTGATTATTATAATAATCACAGATTTTTATTACAATATTTTAAAAGCACAGAATAAATAATAGTCATCATTCATTCATCATTACAGCCCTTCACAAGTCCACTGCTGAACATAGGCCTCCCCCAAAGAATGCCACAAAGCACGGTCCTGAGCCACCTGCATCCATCGACTTCCTGCATATCTTACCAGGTCGTCACTCCATCTAGTGGGGGGACGCCCTACACTTCGCCTGCCGGTACGAGGCTGCCACTCGAGAACCTTTCTTCCCCATCGGTTGTCGGTTCTTCGAGCTATATGGCCGGCCCATTGCCACTTCAGCTTACTAATCCGTTGGGCTATGTCGGTCACTCTAGTTCTACTGCGGATATCCTCATTTCTGAGTTTATCACGCAGGGAAACTCCGAGCATAGCCCTCTCCATAGCTCGCTGAGCGACCTTGAGCTTCCTCATCCGGCCAGCAGTGAAGGACCACGTCTCAGTTCCGTATGTCATCACTGGCAACACGCACTGGGTGTACAGTCTCGTTTTCAAGTTTTGAGGTATACCTGACGAGAAGATGTGTCGTAGCTTCCCGAACGCTGCCCAGCCGAGTTGAATCCGTCGATTGACCTCTCGGTCGAAGTTGGACTTACCTAGTCGGACTATTTGTCCCAGGTAAACATACTCGTCAACAACTTCGAGCTTAGTGTTCCCAACAACTACCGGCATAGGTGTGACATGGACATTAAACATGATCTTTGTTTTGTCCATGTTCATCTTAAGACCTATCCGTTGGGAAACACTATTGAGGTCATTGAGCATAGTGCTT